GTCCGGGAGTCCATCTTGTCTGTGAATACAGAGGCAAAGAAAGCATTGAGCACTTCAGCTTTCCCCACATCATCTGTCACTAGGTTACCTCCTTCATCCAGTAGGCTGCACGCCCTCTCTGATCACCTTCTTCTTGTTAACATGCCTGTAGAAACCTTTCTTGTTATCCTTCACATCCTTAGCCAGTCGCAATTCCATTTGCGCTTTCGTCTTCCTGATAACCCCCCCCCCGGCATTTAAACCCCTCCCTGGTCATTTGCCCAAGGTTCCATTTTTTGTAAGCTTCCTTTTTGTACTTAAGTTCACCAAGGATTTCCCCTGTACGCCAATCTGGTCTCCTACCATGTTTGCCTCTCTTGCTACGCATCGGGATGGTTTCTTTCAGTGCCTTCAAAAAGGCTTCTTTAATACTGCCAGCTGTCCTGGACTCCTTTTCCCTTCATGTTAGCATCCCAGGGGATTCTACCCATCAGATCTCTGAGGGAGTCAAAATCTGCTTTTTTGAAGTCCAAGGTGTGTATTTTACTAGGCACTTCCCTGGTCTCCTGTGGGACAGTCACCAGTGGGACGTTGATGGCTTCATCTCTTTGTGGCGAAAACAACAGAGCCTGCAGCTGAGCCTGGTTCCCCGATAGGGCCCAAGACCACTGAAGACAACAGGCAGGACTCCTCAGGAGTTTGGCGCAGATCCTGAAGCACACCCCCCATTGTAAATGGCGTGCTTTGGACTGGTATTCTACACAGTCTGAGTGTTCGAGGGCCAGGCCTCCGATGTGGCATTACACCTCTCCACAGCTTTCAGCTCCCCACAGCATGTCCACAAGAAGCGCAGATCCCATTCTACTTCACAGCACTGTGTTTTGGCTCATCAGCATCAGTCCTGCAATCATGCCCCAAGCCCGTTACAAGACGGTTGACCAGCCTTGCCCAGACCACAGATCCTGTAGACCATGCTTGCTGGAGGACCATTCCTGGTGTTCCTCTGCATCCCGGGTGTCAGCATCAGTGATCAATATGTGGTACCTCACTGATACCAGCCCTCATTTTTGTCCCCTCACACCAAATGCTCTGTCAGCCTGGCTTTGGACCAAACTTTGGCACCCCTGGCACAGTCACCTCATCTGATATCTCCAGTACTGCAGACAGGATTCCAGTTAGGCAGTGGCCGCAGGCCAGGCCACCTCAATGGTACCCCTGGCACCTGTGGGTGTTTTCTGCACCGTTCCAGGTATGGCACTTGTCAGCTGGTATACCAAGGGCACGATCAGCCATCTCCTCTTCCATTAAACGTCTCCTGGCACCTGAGGCTACCTAGGCTCCCACCCAACAAGAAGAGCAGGGGGGTTGAGACACAGACTCCGGCCCCTCCCTGTCCAGTGCAAGACGTTACCTCCTCTTCTCCAGATGAGGCCATCATGGGACTTCCTCCAGTGGTACCTCCTGATGCCACCTGAACTTCTACAAGCAGTCGACCACCAACTTAAATTTCCAAGTGGAGGAACTTGAAAAGTCAGAGGATACCCTCTTCAGGGTGTTGGGACAGTCAGTCCTGACCAGGGTGACCTTACCCCTCCATGACTGGGTGGCCAAGATCACCATGACCTTCTGGCAAAAGGGTGAAAAGAAAATACTTTGTCCTGGTGATGGGGCATGCATACGTTTGCTCCGACCCAGCCTTATCTACCAGGCTTTGGTATAAAACTTCCCCCAAAATCTTAAAAACCTAGAACTTGGGAACAAAACTTCTGCTGCCACCACCCAAATGTTGATAAAGAAATCAGGGGGAAGATCATTTGGGAAATCTCACCCCTAAGATAAAAATCAAGGCACACAATTAACCACTGCCAGGTTAATAAAAAGAAAAGAAAGAACTTTTATTATTACAACAATATTCCTGTTGCAAACATAATGACTAGATAGGGAGGTAACAAAATATACTCATGGAGAAACTCCATGGGCCTAGAACTTAGTTACAAAGAAAAGCCAAAACATCTTTTAAGCAGTGCCAGATCTCAGATCCCATACCCAATCCTTAAAACAATAAAACCTAACGAAACTACCTAAACTTTACCCTATTTACAGAAAATGAAGAATGGTATCTTGGAGAGAGAGAGAGAGACATGCTTGTCCCTCTCTGTAGCTGCAGAGAGCTCCCCCAGAGACACAAAAGGGAGAAAAGAAAAAACCCAAATTCCTTTGTCCCAGGTTGAAAGTCCCACCTACATTCCTACTGGTCACTCCACCTGGCTAGGTGTAGTTAACCCCTTAATTCCCAGGCTGCTGGCTAACCCTCATAATCATGACAACCCTCTTCAGGGTGTTGGGACAGTCAGTCCTGACCAGGGTGACCTTACCCCTCCATGACTGGGTGGCCAAGATCACCATGACAGTCCAGAGCGTCCTTGATTATCTTCTCTACTTAGATGGGTGGTAGTGCCAAGCCTTCCTCCTTCAAGTCCACTTGGCAGTGATCTCGGCTGTTCATCCACTATTCCAAGGCCAGTCCGTGTTTTCCCACAACTTGATGGCAAGACTTCTCAGAGGCCTTGAGTGGCTGTTCCCACAGGTGCAGCCTTAATCTGGTCCTCTCCAAGCTTACCGCTCCACCCTTCCAACTGATGGCTACATGCACCCTTCTTCACCTCTCCTGGACGGTGGCCTTTCTTGTGGCAATTGCAACAGATAGAAGTATCTCCATGTTGTGAGCCTTGACTGTGGAGCATCCATACAGCCTTGTATAAGAATAAGGTACAGCTGTGACCACACCCTGCCTTCCTACCTAAAGTGCTCTCTGCTTTTCATACAGACCAGGATATTTTCTTCCAGGGATTCTCCCTTAAGACTTACTTGACCACTGCGGAGAGCGGTCCTGCAAATCACCCCAACTCTTTCTTACCGATGCGAAGCAGATGAAGGGGTTCCTGGTATCCATGCAACAGATCTTCTAATTGGATAACCTCCTGCATTCGGACATGCTATCAGCTAGTGGGTGCTCAGCCACTCCCACTGGTCAGGGATGACTCCCCCAGAGTGCAAGCCTCCTCAGTTGTTGTTCCTATCCTGGACATTTGTAAGGCTGCAATGTGGTCATCTGTGCACACCATTGCTACTCACTATGCCCTGCTGCAACAAGCCCAAGAGGATGCTGCTTTCAGAAGAGCTGTGTTGCACCCAGCATGCCAGGGAACTCTTCCCACCTCCAGATATACTGCTTGCAGTAACCTACGCTGAATGGACACCAGTAATCACTCAAAGAGGAAAAGACACTCATCTGTTTCCGTAACTAGTGCTGTTCGAGATGTGTTGCTCGTGTCCATTGAACTTCCCGCCCTCTTTCCCCACTGTCGGAGTTGTTTGGCAAGAAAGAATTGAGGGTGGAGGGGACCTGTGAGAGACTGGGCCGTGTCTGGGCACAGCTGAGGGCATCCGCTCAGGGTGAATTGCTCAACTTCGGGGCTCCTTACAGTCCCCAGACTGGTGACCTCTTCAAACAGGCCACAAACCAGTCCCACAGAGTGCTTCAACTGCCTGCCCTGAAGCCTCACGAGCAAAACCCCTCCGACACCCCAGCAATATCCGTGCCCCAGATGGCCCCGGGCCTCATACACAGGTGGGGGGTCTTAGCACCCAATCAACCTACCCCAAACAAGTTCTGTCCGGTTCCTAGAAACCAGCCACAGATCCCTGGTCAATTTACTCTCTGGACCTTACCCACAAATCACGCTGAGCCAATCCTTTAGCATCTAGCATCTAAAGGTTTATTACCACAAGAAAGAAAAGCATGAGAGTAAGGTTGTTAAAGGATAGTACATTACATGCATCAAATCTCCCAGTTCTCGATGCAGGCTCTAGCAGAGATGTTACAGCTGCTGGCTTAAAAGTCCTTGTTGCGCATCCTAGGATCAGGATGGATCCACAGTTCTTCCTGGCTCTTTGATCCCTGCACTGCTGCCTCTGGAATGAAGTGCTGAGCTGAGGACTAAGATGGAGTCGACCACATGGCCTATTTATCCCTCATTCCTGGTCTCTTCTTGTCTACAGCAGGTCACCTGGCCAGCGGCCTATCCCTGTGTTCCCTGCTGGCAGCCCTCAGGTGTCAGCCCTCATTCTTTAGGTGTGTCCTTGGCCCATTGAGTGCCATTGTCCCACAGGGCCTCGCTAATTAGCATGTCCATAGGCTGGGCTCTGCCCAATGCTCAACCACATGCAGAGAAATATTCAGTATCCACACAGATTACAGATTCCTAACTACACACACAACATTATACAATCACATGACTAGCATACATAGTATTAGCAGACAGTAAGCTTCTAACACACCACATGGCCCCCTTTTATACCATTTTTTGGGGCCAACACCCCCACCTATGGGTGCAGCAGTGATCTGGCTGCTTCCGTCAAATTCGGTAACGTGACAGGACCGATGATGCCTTATATGGCAGGGCACGTGTGTGTCACTCCAGAGTACACCTGAGCCAGCTCCCTTACGGGTGCTGGTAAGGGAAAATCTCCTGGCATCAATGTATGTGGCGAGCACACATAGCTACAATGAATGGACATGAGCAACTCATCTTGAAGAATATTAGTTACAGAAACAGGTAACACTCTTGCTTGCAAGATTCTAAGTATGAGAAGACAGCAGCAGATTTCAGCTGCCCTTTGGATAATCAGAAGGCTTCATTTTCTAGTGTTATCCTGATCCAGCATCTTTCCCAAACGTTACTTAAATGAAACATTCCTGTTCACGTAATTTAATTCAAGATTTGTTTATTTTTTCAGATTCAAAATTCAAAAGTTTTAAAGTGTAATACTGATCTCTTTTGAGAAATACAATTTACTTGAGTCGTGTTTAATGTGATGCTTTCTGGAAATAATCACAGTCACAGTAGTCTAAAATGGTTTGTTACAAAAGGTTCTCTTGTCTGATTGTATAATAACTTTATCAGAGTATTTTCAGTAATACGTTAACCAGATACCTTGTTTTCTGTGTGATCTTGCAGCTTTTATGGTTTAATTCCTATTCTTCTGAAGTATGGGATCCACCTACTTGGGATTAATTTAGGATACTGCCTGCACCACAAAAAGTTTTCTTGGTTTCGACACTTCTTGAAAGTGGGCTGCCCAATGCCTTCTGGGGAACACTCACTAGAGTTTACAAAATATGCCGTTAAAGCACAGGAACAGTACAAGGAGTGGCTACCATATCTGTTGTTGGCTGGATTTAATCCACTGAATCTCCTGTGCAGATTGTGGTAAGAAAAATAATTATGCCTTATATTTTATATGTTGTGTACTAAATACTGATCTCCAAATTCATGACTAACCAAGTTTAATAAACGCAATCACTGCACAACACATTGTAACCAGTGCTTATAATGTGCCTGGTGACAGTGGGCTTCAGACTCAGGAAATAAAAGTGCTAATCAGCAAGTCAAGTTCCTGAAGGATGGGAGGCACATTTTAGTACCTTTTGAGGAAAACACCTTCTGATTAGCTGGTTTGTCCACTTACCTGCCCAATAGGAAAGAGAAGCCAATCAGAGCTGCTCCAGGAAGCAAGTCAAGCTCTCCCCCCTTCTTTAAGGCACCCACACTATTTTCATGAGAGGACAGCAGGAAAAGATCAGCTGCTCAAGGAGACTGCCCTCGCCTCCTTTTGCTCATTTGTGAGCAATAGGACAGCTTCTGTGCTTCTTCCTTTTGCTTTCCCTGTTTCCTCCCAACAACACTTGGACTGGGAAGGAGATAGGTGAGCCGGCTGCACACACTCTGGTCTGGAAAAGGTGGCTGAAGAATTCCAGGAGCTGCAGGGAGGAGCAGAGGTAAAGCTGGATGAGGCAGGAGTGGGGAGGACTGAATTAAATGGGGGTACAATTAAGATGGGGCCTGGAAGAGGCTATATTGAGGGAGCAGAATTGATTTGGGAATTGTAGAGCAGAATTAATTTGGTCAGGGCACAAGCAGATGTAGAGATGATTATAGACCACTCCACTTTTGTCAGATAATTTTAAGCACAGATCTTAATGCAGTTACTTAACTCAGGATTATGGGTATGTGTATGCTGCCACCCTAGTTTGAATGAGGGTGGCTAATGTAGGCATTCGAATTTGCAAATGAAGCCCAGGATTTAAATATCCCGGGCTTCATTTGCATGTTCCTGGGTGCCGCCATTTTTAAATGCCCCATAGTTTGAACTACCTGCACGCGGCTACACGTGGCACGGACTAGGTAGTTGGAATTAAACCTCCTAATTCGAACTACCGTTAAACCTCCTTGCAGGAGGAATAACGGTAGTTCGAATTAAGAGCTTTAATTCAAACTACCTAGTCCGTGCCGCGTGTAGCTGTGGTCAGGTAGTTTGAACTACAGGGCATTTAAAAATGGCGGCGCCCGGGAACAAGCAAATGAAACCGGGGCTATTTAAATCCTGGGCTTCATTTGCAAATTCGAATGCCTACATTAGCCACCCTCATTCAAACTAGGGTGGCAGCATACACATACCCATAGAGATTTCAAATGTCTTGCTTGAAAAGTTCATAAAGAAGGGCAGGGTTCAGTGTCATTAAACTTTTCCCTCTTCTCTGAGAAGAACCAAAACAAGGCTTGGTCTTTTTTTACTCCAGGGAAAGGGATGCTTCTGAATGTTTCACTGATCAGGCTTCCTTCCCTATCAGTTCCCCCTTCTTGTGTAAGTGGTGTGGTACCCATCCTAAATTAATAGAAAGTAGGGAAATACAATACAGTATAGCAATGACATAAGAAAAATCTCAATGCACAGTTAATTTTGTATCAGTGTGGGAAGGGGAATCCCTCTGACATTAAATTCAGTGGCAGGGGGAAAAGGAAGGTGGATAAAATTCCAGATCGTCACTGTCACTTGAATTTTTTTCAATAGTACCATACATTTTATGCTTTATGCAACTCATGATTTAATTCATTTCGGATACAAATAACTGGATTGCCTGTTTTTTATTTAATTAGTCCTCAAAATTATTCTAGTACTTAAAAGTCTGAATACATTTTATTTTGACTTTTCCCCAGTGTTTTTTCATGTTGTCATGCAGGATAGAAGCTTTGACTTTACATGTCCACATTTAGGACTTTAACAAAATAATTTAAAACTATACAAGCACATGGCATAATGGATTAGACATAGTTCACCGATTTGGTGTCCCCTTCACAAAACTTTGAATATCCTGTTAGTAATTCCACTTCCATGTAAGCTTTAATTTGTATAAAAAGTTACATTTTAGTGTCCATTCAGTTTTAATCATGGATTTATTTTAAATTTTGTCATATTTATACAGGTTGGATCTCACTGGGCCAGCACCCTTGGGACCTGAGCGGTCCCAGATGAGGGAATTTTCAAGACCACCAGCCTGCCACCCCTCCCCACCACCAGCTCCTTCGGCCTTGCTGCCGGCTGGGTGACATGGCTGCCCCAGCCCCGCTGCCATAACTGCTTCTCCAGCCCCACTGCTCGCATGGCAAACCTGGCCCTGTCTCTGCTGCTGTGGCACCAGTCCCACTTCTGGCTGGTATATGGTCCCGATCGGGCTGCCGACCTGTCACTGTCCCAGACGGGCCTCCTTTGCTAGGCTGCCATTGCCCGGCCAGGCTGCCACGGCTCTGTCCCCCGTGCTGGGCCAGCATGCAGCCCCACTCGGGCTGCCACAGCACAATCACACTGCCAGACTGTCCTGCCCCACTACCATGGCCCCACTACTTCTGCCGGTCTGCTGAGGCCCTGGCCCTGCTACCATCAGTCTCTCCTTTCACTGGGCTCTTAGCTGCTGGCCCTACTGCCCGGGGGCTCTCTCATTTGGCAACATCCATGGTCCTATCGGACCATGGCTGTTGCTGAATGAGAGAGTCCCAGTTTAGGGAGGTGCAACCTGTAGTTGAATTTTTCATACTGCTTGCAATGTTAACTTCATCATTAAACTGGTTTTCTTGATTTAGTGAAATTTTAGATTCTCTGATTTTCTGTTCAGAAGTTAAAACATTTTAAGCCTGAAATGATAAATGATATTTGTGATTATACTCTATTTACATATGTGTATGATTACAAGAGTAAACACTAGAACAATCCCATTTTGTGATTCTTGTTCATTTGTATTATATATAACTTTTTATTTTCAGATAAACTACAAGAGCTTCTGTATTTGCTATTTAACTTAAATTACTTAAAAACATGCTTGTTAAAAAAATCTGCTTGTTACAGTGTATTCCACAAATTTGATACACTTTTGCAATCCTAAATATAATGCTTGTTCTCTCCCTCCCCTCCCCAGAAAATAATGGCAGAATAGTAGAACGCAAATGCCATCTGTGTATATGGTTGATTAACGGTCATTGGCTTATGATTGTACAACTGTACAATATAATGGTTATTGTGCTAAGTAACAGTACATTTTAGTATGAATATCAAAAGTGGTAAGCAAACTAATTATGGCATTAAAGAAAACAGTGAAATTAGATTTACCATTAGGGATGTTAAGTAGCAATTAATTTGCTAATCGAGTAGTCGGTGGAATTTCCATTGAGTACTCAACTAGTCAATTATCACTTCTGCATTCTACCATTGAAATGTACAAGAGCCCCAGTGGGGGCTCTTGTTCATTTCAAAATTGGAATACTGCGTGGAGCCCAGGGCCAGCGGGAAGTCCTGCTGACTCCGGGCTCCATGTGGGCACTTCCGCTTTGAAATGCACAAGAGCCCCCACTTGTGCATTTCAAAGCGGAAGTGCCAAATGGAGCCTGCGGTCAGCGGGGGACCCACTGGGGACTCTTGTACATTTCAAAGCTAACATGCTGCACAGAGCCCGGGATCAGCTGGAGAGCCCAGCTGATCCCAGGCTCCAAGTGGCGCTACCACTTTGAAATGCCGCGTGGAACCTGGTGTCAGCTCCACCTGGCATTTCAAAGTGGCAGTGCTGTGCTGAACCTGGCTCCACGGGGTGTTGCCGCTTTGAAATGCTGCGAGGAGCCTGATACTGGGCTCCCCGTGGCACTCAAAGTGGCAGCGCTGCACAGAGCAACTGACCCCGGGCTCCGTGCTGTGCTGCTGCTTTTAAGTACCTCCCTCTTCTCTTTCCCCCCCCCCCCCCCCCGCTCCCTCTATCTGTTAGAGGCAGCAAGGGGGTGGGGGAGAGCGACTATTCAATTATCATGTCAACTATCCAATAAGCATTTGCTTATTGGATAGTCGACTAGTCCTTTACATCCCTATTTACCACTGCTCTGTATTGTTTAAATAAATGCATTGAAATGATTTCCATGGTCATACCTGAATTACATTAATTCTGAAAATGAAATAATAGAAAATACAGAATAAACAAGAATTTTTTTTATTATTAGTTTTAGTCAACCAGTACATTTATGTTTCACATCTTTTTATATTTTAAACCATTGATTGAGTCAGATGAGCATGCAATAATACCTAGATGGCAAGGAAGTATTTTCTCAAAGTATGTGTACCGTGCACGTATTGTATTTCAGTACGTTTCCAATACCTTTTAAAAAAATAACTCCTTTAGACTTCTTGTGTAACCCACTTATGCTGTGAAGGCTCTTGCTTGCCATTTCTTACACATTATCTTGGAGAATTGAGGTATAAATCACCCTAAAAACAGTCTGGCTACGTCTAGACTGGCATGATTTTCCGGAAATGCTTTTAACGGAAAAGTTTTCCATTAAAAGCATTTTCGGAACAGAGCGTCTAGATTGGCATGGATGCTTTTCTGCAAAAGCACTTTTTGCGGGAAAGCGTCCGTGGCCAATCTAGACGTGCTTTTCCGCAAAAAAGCCCCGATCGCCATTTTTGCGATCGGGGCTTTTTTTTTGCAGAAAACAAATCTCATCTGTCTACACTGGTCCTTTTGTGCAAAAGTTTTGCGCAAAAGGGACTTTTGCCCGAACGGGAGCAGCATAATATTTCCGCAAGAAGCACTGATTTCTTACAGTAGGAAGTCAGTGCTTTTGTGGAAATTCAAGCTGCCAGCGTAGACAGCTGGCAAGTTTTTCCGGAAAAGCGGCTGATTTTCCGGAAAAACTGGCCAGTCTTGATGCAGCTCTAGTGTATAGAACTAAAATCTTTAAACTTTCTTAGGTTTTGTGATTTGATTATTTTTAAAATTACATAAGTCATTAAACATTTTTTTCAGATGTGATGGAAAGCCAAAGCAATAATGCAAGACATTCATCTTGGTGTTGAGAGACCTTGAAAAAATCTTGATAGAGATGGAATAAGCAATTCTTGTAGAGAAAAATATTGCCTGTTACGAAGGCAGATACATTTTAGAACATACATTCTCTTACAATGAAGTTTAATTCTAAAAGTAATGGAGGAAGATCTAATTTGCTTTAGTAATGTGCTATAGCATCAAAAGTTACTTTAGAATTCCCTTTTGATGTTTTGTTCTGCATAGGATATTTCTAGGAACTTGTTATAAAAACATAAATCTTTCAATATTTTTCCTCCTCTCCCCCAAAATTATTTTTGTTTTGGTGTGTACACTAGTTCACTATGTTATGTAACTTTTTACTGTGTAGGATTTATTCTGTGAATGATGACCTCCTTAATTTCACACTGGAGTTTACTAACTGGAAAAGGCTTCCTACAGCTATAGAACAAAATCTCTCTGACCACAAGGAAACCTCCACCTGGGTTCCACATCGCCATTTTGGTAAGTAGAACAACCCATCAACCACTTTCTTCACATATACCCATTTCCAGAATTTAAGAGGGGAAAGCTCTTTGGAACTATATGTGAATTCTATAGACTGTAACATGAAATTGGATAGAAAGTGTGTTTTAATTGTGTTTTAACTATTGGTGAAAACAATAGTTGTCTTAAACCAAGATCATATTTGAATTAATAAAATAAGATAGTAAGTGAAATATATAATGTGTTTAAAACTGGTACTTTTAGTCAGGATTATCTTCCCCATGTAATTACTGGTAGACAATTTTTTTGTTTGATCTGTATAAAGTAAATACTAGTTTTTAAGTGCCTTTAAACATGAAAAAAGCAGCAGAATGTCGTTATAAAAACTATATATCAGAAGAAATTCAGAGAACCTATTGTTTGGAAAGATTTTGATCTAATTACTTTTGACAGTAATTAAAAATATCAACAACATATGTGTTATAATAACACAAATCCAGCAGCCTGTCTTCCTTTTCATAGTTAAAATATAGTCAACTGAAACAAATGAATAAATATTTTCCCACAAATACTAGCTTTCACCACACACATCTTTCCCAGAAGCCAGTCAGAGCAAATGATCTGTGCAGTACTGGGCTATCTGAAAAATTATGGAGTCCTGTTTCATATTTATTCATTGTAAAACTAATTCCTTTAAAAAGAGGTGCTATGCCATCTGTAAAGTGATTGTTTTTATATTTATTTTTTAAGATTTTCCCTGGAGTAACTCTCCATCTTACATCAAAGCCTCCTTGATTTGAATGCCCCCTGTTGTGTGCCTCTTCTAGTTCCATTGTCAGGTTGCTCAAAACTGGCAGACGGCCGATCCACTTCATTGTTCCACCCCTGAGCAGATTTTTCACCCCGAGTCTCACAAAGATTACGGAGTGTAACTCAAGCAGTTATAACCATTGAAATGTTTTCCTCGCTTAGCTATAACCTGCCATAAAGTCATCACCAGCGCACTTTTAATCTGCCATTTGTACATTCCACAATCATTCTGCACCTGCTCAGCCTACTATTGAAAGGCTTCTTGCTGCTGTCCAGGTTTTCTGTGTAAGGATTCATGAGAGTAAGGGATACACTAGGTCTCCCAGATCATTGTGGGCATTTCAACACCCTTCACTGTAATCTTCTGGTTTGGAAAGAAAGTTTCTGCTTGTAGCTTTCTGTACAGTCAGTGTCCCTGAATATGTATGTGTCATTTACCTTCTTGAACCCACACTGTGTTTTAGTGAAATGTCCGTGGTGATCAACAAGTGCCTGTAATATTATGGAAAAGTACCTCTTTCTATGGAATGGTTCTGTCGTAAGATGGTCCGGGACTAAAATCAACTACTTTCTTCACGTATCCATTTCCAAAATTTAAGAGGGGAAGCTCTTTGGAATATTATTGATTTGAAACCAGTTAGTAGCAGTCTGACATCACCAATTTCCACGATCGTGAGGGCTGTTCTCATTTTGATGTTCTTGTGCCTTGGAACTGGAGGAAACTTCAGAAGGGTTTCCACATCCAAAAGTTCTGTAGCCACTGCTCATCATCCCAGACCTGTATAAAGTCAGTGCTTGTTTGCCAATCCCAAAAGTGACAGTTCAGCTGCTCTGTGAATGCCAAAAGTAATCTGATGTTGGTCTTTCCATAGCACTCAGCAGGTATGGCAGTTCTGATTCCTGTTCAGATCGGGAGCTTGTGATATGCTGCATGACCATCTGTGACAACACAATCATAGAATCATAGGACTGGAAGAGACCTCAGGAGGTCATCAAGTCCAGCCTCCCTTCCCAAAGCAGGACCAATCCCAACTAAATCAACCCAGCCAGGGCTTTGTCAAGCTGAGACTTAGAATCTCCATCCCTAGAGGTTTTTATCACCTCCCTAGGTAACCCATTCCAGTACTTCACCACCCTCCCAGTGAAATAGTTCTTCCTAATATCCAACCTAGACCTCCCCCACTGTAACTGTAACGAGCCCATTGCTCCTTGTTCTGCCATCCGTCACCACAGTAGTGGAAAGCATTGCAGAGATGGTGAGTGCACTGTAAATGGGGGTAACTGAAAAATGCTTTGAAAAGCAGTAAGAAGCCTGTGGAATAATAGGACGAAAAGAACTTCAGGATGGGACATTGAACCAGCACTCATGATGAGCTGCGATCCACTCCAGCTTTCCACAAGTTCTGGCTGCAGAAGGTGGCAAGCAACGTGGTGGGATGGCTACCTACAGTACACTGCTCTCACTGTTGATACTAGTAGAAAGAATGTAGTGTGAACATGTGAGAGCAAAGTTTTTACAGCACTTTTTGGTCAGGGACATAACTTTTGTCAACAGAAGATTGTAGGAATTGTTTTTGGCCTTGGTGTCAGTATAAGGAAAACGAAAAGTGTTATCTAAGATCAGGATTGTAATGTGATGATACCAAAATATAGAGTGCTTCTAAATTTTCTCTTTTAAATAGCCTGCTGAGGAAGATGCGCAGGTCAATTCTGGATTTATGGAATTTCTGTGGGTGTTATTCCCTATTTCTTCCTCCCTCACTCTTCCAAATCTCTGATTTCCTTCTAAAGAGTTCAGAAGTTTTAGGGGGTAGCCAAGTTAGTCTGTACAGGATAAACTTAAACAACAAGTAGTCTGGTAGCACGTTATAGACTAACAAAACTCATGATAGCATTTACATGTTTCGTTAGTCTATAAAGTGCTACCAGATTATTTGTTGTTTTCTAAATAGTTGTGAGGGCTATGCTTATAGTTAGTCAGAATATGGGACGAGCAGCCTCCTCAAAGTTTAATACTACTGCTTTCAAGAGTAAAATTTTTCAAACAATGGCCGAGAGATTTTTTGGCGGGGGGGGGGTCCCAATCCCTTTTAGAAAAGACCGTGTTATTGCATTCTGTAGTCTGTGCTATGTTTCGAATGGGACAGAACTTTTCATGAACTGTGGCAAAGTTGGCTCAGTTGATATGAAGGCTGCAGGTAATATCACTTTAAAAAAAAAAAAAAAAAAGTTCCACTTTTTAGTTGAAGATGCTGCATTTTTGAAAGTTTTAACCTTAAAAAAATTGATTTATTGGGAGGAGGGATAGCTCAGTGGTTTGAGCATTGGCCTGCTAAACCCAGGGTTGTGAGTTCAGCCCTTGAAGGGGCCATTTAGGGTTCTGGGGCAAATCTGTCAGGGATGGTACTTGGTCCTGTTGTGATGGTAGGAGACTGGACTTAATGACCTCTCAAGGTCCCTTACAGCTCTATGAGATAGGTGTATCTCCATATATTATTATAGCTTTTAAACCGCTTTCCATTGCCCCTGCAACAAGTTCATGTTGTTTTTTACTTGAAGCTTTTTTTTAGGGAAATGTTTTTAAGTGAAATGAAAAAGTAGAAATGAAATGGAATTTATCTCTTTATAGTCAATGTGACATTTGAATTGTGTGCTATTTTAAATTGGTGGAGGATCATTGGTGGAGGATATATGGAAAATTTCAATATAACTGGCAGCCTTTTTGCTTTTATAGTTAAAAGAAAGAGGTTGCAGTCTAGACGCTCTCTTTCGAAAGAGGCTTTTTCGAAAGATTCTTTCGAAAAAGCCTCTTTCGAAAGAGAGCGTCTAGACTGCAACCTCTTCTTTCGAAAAAGTGAGCCACTTTTTCGAAAGAGAGCACCCAGGCAGTCTGGATGCTCTCTTTCGAAAAAGCCCTGTTTGCATTCAAGAATGCCTTTTTTCGAAAGAGCACTTTCGAAAAAAGACGTTCTTCCTCGTGAAATGAGTACCGCCGTTGAAAGAAAAGCCGCGTTCTTTCGATTTAATTTCGAAAGAACATGGCTGTAGTCTAGACACAGGTGAAGTTTTTTCGAAAAAAGGCTACTTTTTTCGAAAAAACCCTGCAGTCTAGACACAGCTTTTGTGTCTAGCATTTGTGAGGTGATAGTCAACATGTATGTATCGTATTAAGTATAAAACTGCACTAGTAGCATTTTACAAGAAATATAAGTGTGCTTTATGCCAAAATAAAAGTGATATTGACAATCTATTCTATATACATACTGTGGAACATATAAACATCATGAATGAAATAAGTGAAATAATAAGTGAAGGCACCCAAGGCAAACATCATATTAGATAACCTTCAAGTATTGTATAGTTGGCTGAATATGAGTAATGAATTATTTGGAAATAGAAGATAAATACAGTACCAGTTCAAAGTTACAAACACTGGTTACCAACTGACCAGTCAACCACACGTCTCATTTGGAACCAGTGTTACTCAATCAGGCAACTGAGTTGAAAAAAAGCAAAAATTGTATGGTACAGTATTATGTTAAACTACCTTAAAAAAAGGGAAAGTTGAAGAAGAATTGACAACGTATGAAAGTTGTTTCTTTGTTTCATTTATATTAATATGATTAAAAGCAGGATTTATCTTCTGCATAATAAAGTTGCAAAGTGTATTAAATCAATGTTAAGTTTTAAACATTTGAAAGAACAATTATAATGGTTTGTTTAGAGTTATGAATATTTCAAAGTTATAAACAAACTTCATCTAGAGTCTAGAGTTTATTTTGGGAAAACTACTGTCTTTTGGATTAATGGTGTAATCCTAAGTATTAAAGTGCTGTGGATGATCTTCCTTAATTGAGACTCATCACAAATTGTTTTCTTGTGTGCTAAAATTCCCATTTTATATCTTTCATTCTGTGCCACAGCAAGATGTACTAATACGTGTGCTAAATATTTTGTATTTTACTCAGAGGGTTGTAGGATCTTGTGTTTGCCCATTGTAGAATTCTAGAATTAATACTGCTGTTAGGGTTGCCAGGTGTCCAGTTTTGAACTGGATAGTCCAGTATTTGAGTTTTCTGTTTGGGAAACAAATTGAGAAAACATAAATGACAAAAATATAAATGTCCGGTATTTTTTAAATAAGATGTAATGTAGATTGTGATGTACTGTCAAGTGTGTCCAGTATTTTTGTTGAAACCATCTGGCAA